ACTGGTCACGTATCATCTGTTTGATAGTCTCCTTAAGTTCAGCTGAGAGCTGATCTTTGCATGCAATCTGACACTTCAATGATCGCAGCATTTGGATTTTGTAACTGAGATGGAAACATGTCAAGCCCGAGATAAGAGATGGCGAAAATTCCTGTAAGCCTACCTGGTCGGGGACATCATCTGTCCGCTCAAAAGTTCGCCAAGATTGGCGCTCACTTCAGCTGATTTGTCCTGAACATTTAGCCCTGTTATAGAGATGAAGCACATACGCTTACAGCAACCACTCCACATTGAGAATTGACCGCATGAGTCTTGAAATAGTCCATCGGTAGTTGCGTGCGGACCTGAGGCCAAATGAATGTACATTAAAAACCATCATACGTACGCTGGTCATTTCGTTGACTGAGAGAGGTACGTCCTCTCCCTCCTTATAGTCTCGTGGGGCGATACCGGGCAGGAGGAGCGAGGCAACGCTATGTACCAACAAAGCGAAGCATAACCAGGTCAGACCTGGATTCCAGTGCTTCGTGAGGGAAGCCATATTATAAAGGAACTATACCCAGTTTATATTAACCTCTAGACCGTTATAGGATAACCCATTGCCAACCGACTGTAGAGTGACACAACTTGAAACACTTTTGGAGTGGTGTCGAACTGTATTCGATAGCAGCGCTTCCCGATACATTGTACGATCGAATCCCAGCGGTACTCAAGCCAACGACATCACGACTGGGCGAAGGGAGAACGTTTCTTGGTAACTCGAGACTGCCTCGAGACTACCGAGACGCAAGGTGCTCTAGTAGTGGGTATAAACCTGTTCATCACAAAGTCTTCCAGTCGTTACCGTTAAAGGAGGGTCAGGGATGGAGTAACCTAACATGTCTCAAATGCGCAAGTTATGCAATTAGATTATTCAGACGTGCTCATCCTCACAAGCTGGTTTAGCACGGGTTAAAACGTCCAAGTTCGGAAAATATTCCACAAAATCGCTCATGTACATGCGCATTCCAACGCGGGGCGAAGCGTGTCCCGTAACTTGACCGCAGAACTTCTACGTTGGGTCGTTGGGACATGATCAAGCTATGATCGAGGCCAATGTAACAGTGATCTTGCTGTTTTACCTTTGCCGGTTGTTAGGAAGACACTGGATTTATTCCTGCGTGCTAGGTGTGGTGTTAGGCCAATGCATGGCATGTCGAGAGGTTCGGTCTTATCGCCACTCTCTACTGTTCAGCTGGCTAACATCCAGTCTCTTCCCACACTGCCACCCGATAAATAATCCTATGCGGTGTAGCGTACCTTGACTTGCCTTCACGACGACGGATCGAAGGATCGACCCGATCCGATCGAGTCAGTCTGACGTGCGCCTCTTGTGGTAGGAGGACCTGCCCTGCAGGCAGGGCCCGCTCCTGCTGGCCAGTCTGTTAGCTGCGTTGTATCGATTGTTCGCCGTTCGACCATCATCAGCTACCTTTTTTGTTGTTGTCCGACTGTGCAGCCCTCCCTGTGTGGAGTAGACATGGCGTGCGTGAGAGTCTTGACCGCAGTTTATGTGTACATGCGTGAAGTGGCGGGCTGGGGTGGAATGAGTCATGCACGGCGGCAAATGCCGCCTGCTTTCGTCGTGCCGCCGCGATACTCGCACACGGGCCATTTCACGACGGACCTCGAATAAAGACAGCGGATCACCCGCGGCGTGGATGATGCGGACCTGTGTCATCAAGGCGCTCACTGTGCGCCGTGATACAGTGTGACGCGCCTCTTCGTATCGGTATTCAGTCTTTTAGTGCCAGAATAACCTCTAGCACCGATCTAGCCTAACCACGTCAGAACGACATATGCAACCTAGAGTATACCAGAGTCAACATGATGCAAGTTTCATGTAGGGTAGTATGAAGTTGTGCACCGACGTCGCTAAGCAGTGAGTTGTGCGCTCAGAGGTTGTATGCGCGGGTACGCGAGCTCAGGGCATGTCAAAACCGACAGTCAAGCAACGGCTCGCCTACATATTCCCTACAGATCTTGCTACAACAATGCACACCTTCGTCAGCATCCCGCTCTTGGTCTGCCTGACTTTCGCCTGGGTCAATCCCGCGGTCGAGAGGTGGGCTAGTGAGAGACGAGTCCGACCCTCGCTGTGTGATATCGAATATGACTCCTTTCAGAACAGAGATCGTCAGGTTATCCCCCGCAGTGGATTACAATGACAACACCAACTCGACACCAGGCCACGGTACGTACAAATTCGGTCACGGTTACAGGTCATCGCAGAGGGTGGACTCTATCAGAAGCCCATCGGCAAATGCTTCATGCAGTCTAGTGGTGTTGTGACTGGTTGTAAATGCCATACCACTAACTGTTTAATCTACGTGGTAGGCTTGACTTTTCGATTTCCTGTTTAGTAACGACTTGATCAACCTCACCTTTTTTAGAACCACGAGACTCGCATAATCTATACAGCGGTATGTGGTGACACTTGTAAAAGTACCAGAACCTGTCAGAGACCTCGTATTGGAATAAGACAATGTAAACCGTTCTGGGTATGCAACATAAACTGCGACGTTAACGAGGTGAATTCAGTTTACTCCGGTACTGGTTTACAAATGGCGTCTTCTTAGGACTGTCCGTTCTGGGAGGGGGCGTTCTGTCTACAGAGCAGGAACGTAGGGAAGTATTGCACATACCACAACACCTACTAGGTGTCACCCAGTCTAATAACTCCGTTAACTATCATCGGTGCTGAACACTGATCAGCACACAATTATCGATAATCGCTCGTGAGCAATGTTCTTTGGTCCTACTACGTGGGCCCACTTTATTCTCTTCATGTTGGGTCTAACTCTCGGCCGGCTACGATCTTCTCTCTTATTCGATCCATCTGATATAAGTGGCTTCCCTTACTCTACTACACAAGTTAGTATTTTCTGGGGAAACTAATGGCGATGAGCTCAGTCTCAGACGGTTCAACCTCCACGACGACGAGGGTCATTTCAATATCATCACAGTGTTAGTGTGTGGTGTCATCCACTATTCATAAAGTTATACTCCGAATGCCGCTCATCGACGAGAACCTCGATATAATCGACATAATGTAGACAGTTGTGCGGGCCACACAAGCGTGGGCAGTGCAGCAAACCGTGCCTTGATATCGATGGATTGTAGAATACAACTTGTGCTAGTTTGATACAAATACTTCGGTTCCAGCAGTGATACTGCCGCAGTATCCAATTGGGTATGTATATCCAAGCTGGAAGTTTCTACCCATCCGAGCCGCAATATATATCCTCACAGACGACGTTATGTTCACTTGTGTGATAAACACGTCGAGCTTTCCTAGGTTAGTCTAGTTTACATCGGCTACACTGGCAAGCACTACGCTTCCAGCATGAACTTTTACTACTAAGTTAGTAGAAGTTCGAAAGCTCATGTGCGAGGAATAAAATCCGACTGTCATTTCTCCTGATATGGCCGACAAATACTCAATATCCAACTCGGCACCATTTGCTCTGCTTTTCTCCCCGGACTAAAATAGATCTGGGCCGGGACAACTCCACAAGCATTTGGCATACCGCTCGCCGAGGAACGCGGGCTATAGCTGGGATGAATCACCACGGCTCGAGCCTGTGGCAAGTCCCATTTATGCTCACGCCCGCATCGATTAACCTCGACGGTCCCTATACATTCGTAATATTTGTACGGGAATTGAGTCATGAGAGTGGTGAATAGATGGTGATGTAGAGAGCCCAGAAAATCATGACTCATGATTCATGAGGCGAAGCACGAGTTTTCGATGGTGGGTACAGACTCATTCCCGACAACTGCATCTCGAAGATTTTCTAGGGAAATCGTGAATAGTCAAGTTACTTTCTCGCTCACCCCGCGGAGTTTATTTTGGATTGAACTTGGCACCCTGGGCGTGCGCGCATTTCAACCAAACCAACTGGTTTAGCACGGGGTAAAACGTCCGGACTCGGAAAATATTCTGCATAATCGCTCGTGTATATGCGCATTCTAACGCGGGGCGAAGAGTGTCCCGTGACTTGACCGCAGAGCTTCCACGTTGGGTCGTTGGGACATCATTAAGTTATCGAAGCAGTTTTTGCATGTTCCGTAACCAACCTCAATGTCGTTGTTTCGCGAATGCTGTGCGGGGACCATCAGCTGGCTGGACCTTGGAAAATGCATGCAGTGTTTGCAATGACACTGAAGATTCCCGCTGGCTCTGTCTGGGTTGCTACCAGGTATGCTGGACTTGCTCTAGTACAGTGG